TCCTCTATTGTGCAAATCACTCACGGGGTCTCCCAAAAATCCAGCTGTTAGCACTTTGTGGAAGCAGGAAGTTTCAGCTGGCTCTGAGAAACAGTTTAAAAAAAACACTTCCAATGATTTCCAGAGGGAATGTGAAGTGATCTTTGCAAGTGCAGGCTATCAGACCTTGTCATGAAAATCCTCCAGACCAATTCCCAGCATAGCCCAGTTCCGGAACATGTTCTCAATTTAATGTAGAGATATGAAGCATTGTGAAGCATCAATATGTGTGGGAACAGGAAGACATATGCACTCGAGTGAGGGTGAAGTAATTTTGAAGCCTACTCACTCTCTTCATGTTCACTTGCTCTAAATCTGAACCTGGAGGCACCAACTCCTGCTTGGATTCAATTAAATTGAAACATTGGAGAAGCTGTAGGCCAATCAGCCTATCAGGTCTGCTCCAACCACTCAATTAGATCATGGCTGATCACCTACCTCAAAGCCAATTTCCGGCATTCTTTGATGTCACTCATCTCCAGGAGGATATTCCATAAAAAAAGGCTCAAGGTTTGAACTTCCACAGCCCCTGGGATAAGGAAATTCTTCACTTGTGGTGGGCTATTCAAACATAGCGGCCCATTGCCCTCAAATCTTATCCCATTTCCATGTTCCTTCCACTTTCTCTTGTGCAATTATTAATGGTTTCGGTACCTCCATCTGCCAACCTACTGCACCAGAAGCAATGAGGCTGACTGCTCCTATAACTTTACCATGTAACTCAGTACAGGCTAGAGGTCAAGTGGTTAGGTCAATGTTTAGGTAACTATTATAAGTTTATAACAGGAAATACCTTTGCCCCTTAGACTGTCAAGTTAATCCTTGCTTTAATTTACCAGGTAGGAATGAGTATACGAAATAAATTTAGTATCAACAGTATTGCTTTTGAATGGGGAAAGTATCTGACGATAATGCTGTTATATAGCTTGATGAGGATGAGAAAACACAGAACACTGCAGGAATAGAAATGGGAGAGAAAGACAGCCACTCTGACAACATTGTAGTGCTTTGTAACCATATCAAAAGTTAAGAGTCACTCTCTGCCACCTTTGTGAATTCTCAACAGTAGTTATTTTCTCATGTTCGGCCTCACTGATCATGCCTCAGAGGCAAACCTCATATCCTCTTTTGATCTGGAGCATGCCTCCTTCTGGACACAGTCTCAGTAAGCAACAGGCAGTCCTTATTCTACACATCAACTTTTAAATATATAACACTCCTTCAAGTGAATTCAAGTGTGGAACTCTGGATTAATACCAAAACAGCAAAATATAAATTTTGAACCAAATGGTTTTGTTACATGTGACAAGGTAAGGGAGAGTATAAAGTGAGATATATCTGCCCTAACTCCTTGATATTGAAATAATAGATACAACTTGCTTGTTTTCTACATAGTGTCTGAGCATACATCAACTTCCCTTAAACTGGTCTGATTTCATTGCTATGAGCTGTGGGTCAGATAGACATTTGTCTTGTAAAGCAGGAGGCAAGAGCCAGAACATTCTGCATAAACAAAGACCCGTATTCCCTTTGATACATCAGCCCCTTTCCAGTTAGAAGATGACACAGTGTGGAGCTGGAGGAACACAGCAGGCCAGGCAGCATCAGAGGACCAGGAAAGATGATTTTTGGGTCAGGACACTTCTTCAGAATTTTTTTCTGAAAAAGGGACATGACCCACAACATCAACTTTCCTGCTCCTCTGATGCTGGCCTGCTGTGTTCCTCCAGCTCCACATTGTGTTATCTCTGAATCCAGCATCAGCAGTTCTGACTATCCCTTTCCAGGTAGAAGCTGTTTTTGTAATCTGACCTCCAGTTATCCACACTCAGTTAACTGAACACTGACGACATGGGCATCCATGCCTTCCAATCAATGTGCTCAGAGATATTTTTCATACGTCTGGAGCTAGTGGGACTTGAACCTAGGCCTCCTAGTTCAGAAACAACATGAGCGTAAACTACCCAGTCAGACAGCTGACAATGGAAGATTCTGTAAAGCTCTCTTTCTGACTGGCTGGTAGCAGGTTTAGCCACTAGGATGAGATGAGATGAGATGAGCTGATGGACACACTAAAGCTTGGGGCAGCTGTTGCCAAGCCACAGTGGGGAAAGACCATTGTCTGAGGTCTTCCTGCTGAAATTAAGTTGGGGTCCATTCAGTTATCGGACCCTCTTGGTGCTTTAAATGAATGTAAATACTTACAAGTAAGAGATGCCTCTGGTTTGTTTGGATAGAGTCAAACTCCAATGTTTGTTTGTTTCCTCAATTTGTTACTGTAGAAAACCGAAAGGCATTTATGACTATGCATATATAAAGGTACTTTTTATGAGTAAGTTCACGTTTGAAATAAAAAAAAGAGGAGATGTATGTAAGTAGTGTCCTGCAAGAATAAGAAATGCTTTTGCAACAGCACGTAATGTCAAATTCTCTTCTTTGTTTTTCTTGTAATACAAAGACTGTACAGACTGTAAAAGTAGATAAAGATTTTTTTAATGAACTCTCCCGAACTCTGAACTGTTCATCACAAAGAGATCCAGTCAATTAAGGCCCTGCCCTCCCACGTTGGCCTCAGAAACCACTGTCAATCAGGGTCACTACTCCACATGGGAATAGTGTTGTCCCTCCCATCACGCAATTAAAAGCTAGTCATCAATATTACATAAATACAATCTTCGTCAACGAACAAAACCAATGTGTTGACTGATTTGACCATTGCACTGGCATCCTGTGCTGTCTACTGCCCTCAGTTTGCAAGCAGTACATTTGTAAAGAATGCAAAGTCAGTATTTCTGCAACAGAATTCATCATGACCCCAGTGTAAAATCTGCTGTCCAGGCAAGAAGCAGAAACCCTCCTCTGGTCCCACAAGGAAGCTTGGCTTCCCTCCCACCCACCTCCAACACCACCTCCCCAATCCCTTAACCACCACCATCTGTCCTTTGGTACTTACCTGACTATTGATTTCACAATATCCCAAAGATGGTCTCCTGCCAGCATCCTGGCCGGATGTTCAGACTAAGGAAGGGATTGGGGCCTGAATTCTAAAACGAGTCTCTGGAAACCTCCAGGTGTCAGTTTGTCATTTGTTCTGGCCCCTCTTATGGACTGATCCCACCTCACCTCCCCCCCACCCCCAACACCCAGTGAGAACCCACTTGATACTGATTATGGTTTGTAACACACAAATTAGAAGTTAAACATTCCACAAAGCCAAATGTCCACCATGCCTGTCTGAACTGGCCAATAAGTGAGTTCTCCCCCTGGCTTGTGTTGAGCTGATTTCTCACTCTGTGTTAACAGGGATTTTACATTTGCAGCTCAGCAGGAGAGTGAAGTCAGGCCCATCTTTCTGACAGTCCAACAGAAACAGTCCAACAGGAACAGTGTGGATAGCCACATGAAGGTCAATTTTGCCAAAGTATAATGTGGGTCTGTTCAGTTGTCAGACCCTTTTGTTGCTTCAATGTATGTAAGTAGTGTCCTGCATAAATAAGAAATGCTTTTGCAACAGCACGTAATGTCAAATTCTCATCTTTGTTTTTCTTGATATACAAAGACTGTACAGACTGTAAAAGTAGATAAAGATTTTTTTTAATGAATAAGGTATATTTTTGCAATAAGAAAAGTGTGGATGGTCACATGAAACAGACATCTCTGAGCATTAGAAATGTATGTGTTCGTAACATGCTTGTAACACAAGCAGTGTTCAGTTCCTGAATGTTAACAAGATGGTATAGCTGGTTGTGGTTGGCATGGTACTGAAAATATCAATGGACAAGTGAGCACATTAAAGTGGCACTGGTTGAACTCACAGCAGTCAACCAGCACACTCAACGTCAACTAAACTTTGAATTAAGCTGCACAAACTCAGCAAGAATAAGGTTGGGTAAACAGGCACTGCTGAAGGAGAAAGACCATTTCTCCCATTAGGCAGCTACAGTTGTCTGGCTCTGCTGTACATCGAGTTGTTCTAACTGATATCCCAAGCTGCTCCCTTAGCTTTAACTTCGGAACATTTCACAAGCACAAGTGCACAGTTAGATTCTAAAATGTTTATCCTCTTGTCCACACTGGACCCAGATTGGGCTACCCATCTTCACAAAGTTATAGCACTCTCACTTTTCGAACTGTAAAACCCTGACTTCACTGGTACAACTGATGTCTGGTCAATGGCCATGGTACTTGGATCAGCCACTACCTGCTAAGAGAAGTCATTACACACCACTAAAGCAGGTAGAACTTAAACTCAGCCCTCCTGGTTCAGAGGTGAGGATGCCAACACTGCACTACAAGAACACTTTTTATGAGTGAGATAGAAAGAACTGCAGATGCTGGAGTCAGAGATAACGCACTGTGGAGCTGGAAGAACACAGCAGGCCAGGCAGCATCAGCGGAGCAGGAAAGTTGACATTTCTGTCATGTCAATTTTGGGGTATATAGGGAGTTTTCAGCACCCCAGAAATAATGCCAGTCACATAATCCAGTTTTGAATGTGGGTAAAAAGGTCATCAGTGTGAAACAGTGTCTGCAGCTCTCTCTCTCTCTCGCCTCCAAGCAGCTGGTAATGTCCAGCAGCAGGGATACTCTGGCACCTCACCACAGCTGAAGAGCTTAACTCAGAGAGGGTACCACCAGCATTGCCTGCCTGAGGACGTGAGCCATCTAAGTGCATGGAGTCTGCAATAATGAAGGAGGAGGATGATCCTAGAAATAGGACATTGGCTCTGAAGACAGACATGACTGAGGCGTGTGACTCATCCACACAGTTTCCTGACACAACGGACCAGTCACCTTGGGAAAGATGGCCATCTTACAGATTACCACCCCCTGGATAACAATCAAACCTGGTTACAAAGTGATGTTGCTTACAATGTAAGATTGACACGAAATTGCATCTAACTCTCAGCAAACAGTAAGAACCTGAAGAAGAACATCAGAAAGGCAACGTATGCTCTTACCTGATTTGGATGTGCCAGGCCCCTGTTGCCATGGAATTCAGCAGATGCTGTTGGCACTTGGTAGATCTGACTGTGTGACTGGGGCATGGAGGGCACCTGATAGACATTATCTCTTGCCCCGGAGCTAGGGGTTGAGGACAAGCTTTGATGTTGCTTCGTTGGCGCCTGGTAGATGTTTTGCTGCGACGGCCTGTGTTGCAAAGAGTAGGATGACGAGTTCAAAGATGGGATATCATACTGTGACCCAGTGAGCAGCTGCAGGCGGTTTCCGGGAGCAATGCCTTGTCGTCCGTGCAGAGAGCAACGCCACCATCCCTCATCTCCTTTGACATTTCGTTCTATCACCGTCAGTATGTCTCCTTTACGAAATGCCAGCTCATCAGGCGTCTCTGCTTTGTTGTCATAGAGAGCCTTTGCCATAAGGTTCTGTTACAAGGATAAAGGGACAGTTAGTAAAAAGTTTATCAAAACGATGATTTTTCAAAACCTTTTCTGCTATAAATGTAACACCTACAGAAACTCACCGATGCCTCAGTTAAACAATGCTCATCCTTCTTTCCATTACCTTGCCGTCTCCTATCTCTGTAATCCCTTCCAGACCACAATCCTCTGAGACTTCAGTCTTCATATCATTCCGAAATATTGTGCATTCTTGATGCCATAACACCACCATTGGCACCCTGACTCTGAAAATTCCCTCCTTACATATCTGTGCCTCACGTTCTTCCTAATGGCACCCCTAAAAACTATACACTTTTCATTAAGCTTTTGGGCAAGAGCCGATATCTCTATGGGTTTTTTTGTGTGTGGACGGGTGTCAATTTTGATCGAATTATGCTCATAGAGCAGCACAGTGGCTCAGTGGTTAGCACTGCTGCCTCGCAGCACCAGGGACCCGGGTTCAATTCCAGCCTCAGGCGACTGTCTGTGTGGAATTTGTATGTTCTCCCTGTGTCTGCCTGGGTTTCCTCTGGGAGCTCTGATTTCCTCCCACAGCCCAAAGATGTGCAGGTCGGGTGGATGGGCCATGCTAAATTACCCATAGTGTCCAGGGATGTGCAGGCTAGGTGGGTTAGCCATGGGGAATGCAGGGTTATAGGGATTGGATAGTGGAGTGAGTTTGGGTGGGATGCCCTTCAGAGGGTCTGAATGGACTCGATGGGCCAAGTGGCCTGCTTCCACATTGTAGAGATTCTACAGTCAAGAAGCAAAGAACCCAGGAGATCTTGAGGAAGTGTCTCATAGACATGAATTGTAGTTAATCAATGAATCTTCATTGGAATTCTTAGCTCACCTTTGAAAAAGCAACCTTCTGTTGCCAGTTTCTCCCAGAAAGTTGCTCACCACCCAAAGCTGTCAGTAGTGGGTGAGCATCTTAGTAGCTTTCTGCACTGTTTACCAACAGTTACTCTTGTACCTTACACAGTTTACCCTTAAAATGCAAGCAATCACATCTGCCTTTCTGAACTGTATGCATTACTTGTTTACTCAGCTTGATAGTTAGAATACGTCAGCGACAAATCCACTCTGATTCAGGGTGAACAATGTATAATTACAGATCCCTGGAGGAGGAAATCAAATGTGGTTGTTTTCCTGAGTGATGTCTGAGTGCCATGTGTTTAGACCACCCAGTCTAAAGAAATGATGATGATGGAAAGAAAGGAAGATTTTCATCTCTTTGACCAAAGCTGAGCACGTTTCCAGTTCCCAAAGGCACATTTCTAATCTTGTTTTCTTGTTTAATTAGTCATCGATATATTTCCCCATCTCTGTCACTGAATCAAATAAAAAAATGGCAGAGGGATTATAATGTAGGAATTGTCCACTTTAGCAGGAGGAATTGAAAAGCAACACATTATTAAATGGAGAGGAACTGCAGAACTCAGTGTTACAGAGGGATCACCATGTCCTGGTACATAAACCACAAAATATTGGTACACGGGTTCAGCAAGCGATTAGGGAGGTAAATGAAATGTTGATATTTACTGCAAAGGAAATGAAATATAAAAGTGGGAATTTCTTACAGCAGCTGTACACGGTCATGGTGAGACCACTTTTGGATATTGTGTTCAGTTCAGTCTTATTATTTGAAGAAAAGGAAACAATTGTGTTAGAAACAGCTCTGAAAATGTTCACTTGACCCAATTCTGAGGTGAGAGGCTTTTCTTACAAAGAACGGTTGACCTATTTTCATTGGAGTTTAGAAAAATCAGAGATAATCATGTGAAAAACTAATAAGATCATGAGAGAACTTGAAAGAGTGGATTCCAGGAAGATGTTCCCTCTCACTGAAAACAGGAAAGAGTATAAAATAGCAGATCTCCTTTTTAAGACAGAGCTGAATTTTTTTTTCTCCCAGGTAGTCCATAATCAATGGAATCCTTTTCCCCAGGAAACAGTGGAGGCTGGGTCATTGCATTTATTTAGATAGAGTTCTGGCCAAGGGAGTCATGGGGGCAGACAGGAAAGTGCATTTGAGACCCCAACCAGATTGTATCAAATGGCAGAGCAGATTTGAAATGCTGACAGGGCTACTCTTGCTCCTAAGTCATATATTCATATGAATTACTGCTCTTATATGAACTGAATAGACAAGTGGTAGAAAGTCACTAGGATGTGATTCCTGGGAACTGGAAATAGAACAAGTTATGTGTGTGTTTTAAAAATGAGAATTCAACAAGAACGAGAATGAAGATCGGCATGGTATATAATACTTTATCTTTTTGTTCAAAGTTAAAAATAACCCTCATTGTATTTACAATTATGTCAATGAGAAGTGTAGACAGAACATCAGGACTCCAACCATCTATTTTAATTACACAATTTCAGTTAAGCAACTTTAACGTTTTAATAATGTTTAATTGGAACTATCTATTGAACCAATGAATTGAATCGATCTGCTGTACTGGAGTCACTTTCCCCCATATGTCACCTATTTACGAAGGCTCCATTGAGCAAGACAGAATCGATGTCAGTGGAATCACTAATGCTCTGTAAGAGGGTCTAGGTACCCTCAATGACAAAACAAAAGCATTTTCAATCCCTTGTTGAAGCCAACAATGTACCTTTGGCTTTAAAATGGCCAGTTGTCAATTTTCCTCTGACGTAATGAAATTTCCATAAACATAATACAAAGTCACAGGCTAGCCACTAACAATGTGTGTGAGTTATTCGAACAGGGGACCTAGACTACATACATGGCGGTGTGTTATATGCATGGGTTGTCAAATTCCTTTCACAATGAAGAGTTTGTATTGGCCTAAACTCACATAATCTCATACATTTCTGGTGCAGTTAAATGATCTCTGGCATGCAACTATGTATAAAGTTTTATTCTATTTCTATATTAATTTCTCCAATAGGAAATTTGAGGAATTTTCTTCCCCCTTAACTTCAGGAATAAATTATTGATAAATCTAGAAAGCGAGGGCATAGATTTCAAATGATCTGCAGAGGATGCAAGAATGATGGTCGAAAAATCTTTTCTGCACAGTGGGTTGTTAGAATATGGAAAATGCTGTCTGGAAATATGGTAGAGGCAGGTTCAACTAAGGTATTCAAGAGGGTACTGAATGGTTATTTGGATAGAAATGGTGTGTAAGGCTATGGTGGCAAAGCAGGAGACCAGCACTAGGTATTGATGCTTGTCTGAAGAGCTGGTGCAGACACGATGGGCTGAATGGTCTCATTCTGCATCTTGATAATTCTATGACTCTGAAGTCATGACACAAAAAGATCCAGTAATTTATTTTCGAAAGGCCATGATGGCATTGCAAACACCAAGCGACAGTGATATCTTGCCTGTAAAGGAAAAATTGGAGAGTCACTTTTGCTTAAAGTTTTCGAGAAGATATCACTTTCGCCTTTAAACACTGGCTGGCTCCTCTGAATATGCACTGAATGTTCACCAAGATATTCACTCTCTTTCTTGCAAGTCAGGCCAAAATGAGGCCACTATTTCCACTGACAATACTAAAGGATCCAGATATATTTAGGAGCAATCAAATGCAAATCCCTTTCCAAACCTAAATTGGCTGCTTCCCATGCATTTCAATTTTATTAGAGTTAATATTACAGATGTTGCTTTTCTCTCCCCTTCCAAGCCTCACAAATTTGCAGTCTCTACCTCAAAGTATTTTACGTGTGTGAGTAGTCCCTTGTCATGCATGGTATTGTTTGTCTCACAAAAGGCATCTCGTGGTCGGACTGCTTATATATCCTGGTAGACCTGTGTCCAATTTCCTACATTGGCCAGCTCCTGGATAAGCAGTGCCTCAATTTAAAAATCCTCGTCCTTATTCGAATTCCTCCTTGGCCTCACCTCTCCCCATCTTTGTAATCTCTTCCATCCCCAAGATAACTGTGCTCCCTAATTTCGACCTCTTCAGTAACTCCAATTTTAATTGCTTCACCATTGGTGAGTGTGCCCTAAACTTAAAAGTTCTGGAATACCTTCCCTTGCCATTTCTATAGTTCTCTATCTTTCTTTCAAGATAGTCTTTCAAACATCTATGTCCAACCGAGACTTTGGTCATCTGCCCTAATATGTTCTTATAGAGTTTGGTGTCAATACTAAGGGGAGGTGATGGCCTATTGCTGGACTATTAATCCAGAAACTGTAATGTTCCAGGCACCCAGGTTCAAATCCTACCCACAGCAGATGGTGGAATTTAAATTCAATAAAGATCTGGAATTAAAAGTATAATGATGTCCATGAATCCATTGCCTATTGTTGGGAAAAACTCAATTTGTACACTAATGTCCTTTAGGAAAGAAAACTGCCAACCTTACTGAAATAACACCACAGAGGCTGGTATCCTGTCACCAAGTCCCCCTGTATTTACACATCCATAGTAAATGACACTGGTCTGGCTTCCTCAGAGCCACCTCTCAGAGGGAATAGAACATCTGACACTCCTGTTTATATCTGTCAGCCAGGGCTCCCTGATTGGACCAGATTAACAGCCCCAATCAAGGAACTCATATTCTATGATGCCCACCTGGCTGACTTCATTACAATCACTGCACTTACCTGGTCTGGCCTACATGTGACTCCCAACCCACAACAATGCAATTGACTCTTAATGCTTTCTAGGCAATTAGAGATGGGCAATAAATGCTGCCGACATCCCATAAATGAATGAAAAAAAATTTATAATGTTTCTTTGAAGTGCCTTGAGACCGAGCATTAAAGGTGCTATAAAAATATAAATAATTGTTATTGATATATTTTTATTCAACATGAGGTAAATTTACTATACAAATTATGGATTTAGAAAGATTTTCATGTCCACATTGACCCAAATTCACTAGGTATTTTCCCCTCAGTTGTGTTAGTATTTGAAGCATTCACTCACCACAACCAAACACTTGCCATTCAACAACAGCTGGTTTGAAGGTTATGAGAATCAAATCAGTTTGCCAGC